AGACGACTCACGTCATTATTAGAGTGATTGGAAAAGACACAGCCAAGCAATTTTTAACAAAGTGCTTCACCATTATGGTTTGCCGGTAGCCATTGCATCAAATAGATATTCGCAGGGAACAGCAAGGTTTTGGAAAACATTATCTAATGTGCCTGGCACTCAATTAAATTTGCCAACCGCTTGCCAATCGCAAACCCATAGACGATTCACGTCATCATTAACGTCATTGGCGAAAACACAGCCAAGCTATTCCTTGGCAAAGTGTTTCACCAGTATGTTTGCCGAAAGTCATGGCATCAAACAGATATTCGCGGTATACAGCAAAGTTTCGGAAATTATTATCTAAGGTGTCTGGCACCCGATTGATATTGCCAATTGCTAGCCAATCGCAAACGCATGGACCGATAAAATGCGAAAATTGCGTTTTGAGCGACTTTATCTCAAGCACTTAAGCCAAAGTCCGCGGCGCTGGATTGAGAAGCCCCACTCGTCAAGTATGTGTTGATAGATGCTGTTTATAACTTTGAGTTTAATGTCACGCGCAGGGGCGCAACACGCCGATGCCAGAAGCAGGCGAAAATCTTAAGAATATGTACTAAATCATTTTTGTTGTTAAAAGCAACAGCGACTGCAGTTTATAAACTTGAACTGCGGCCGCGCTCCATCAGACCTATCGTGGTCTTATCAAAAAAACTGAGTCATATCAAATCTAACTCACCGTAAATACAGTGTTCTTAACGGCCATACTGAAGGCATACTACGATTCCACTCGTACGAACAAGTGTGACGTGAAGAGATCACCACAAAGCAGAGCGACGTCCTTACCACCCCACGTACCAGAGCTACCTTCTGCTGCAAATAAGTGAGCGCTTCTGATCCACTGGAAGCGGCTCAAGTCAGGCAGTGCGGTGGCTAACCAATCAAGTTGTGTGAATCTAAGCATCGAAAGCACTTAGTGACTCGCGGAGAGTGTGGACGTACCGCCACGACACAAAAGCCGGCCGCGGATGGGTCGACCTCCCTCGACACTGGTTATACGCTCGATGGACCGGCTGGTGTACTAGAGATGCAATCAGTTCCTGGTGAAGAAGAAAGGTTGCCATCAGTCTGAGAAACTTGTTTAAATCCTGAGGATCCACCCGGGCGAGATTGTACTGGTGTCGTGCCCAGTTTAAATTTTTCTTGGTGATGAAACACGATCGTCCATTACAGTGCGGTCTCCATGGTGGAAGGGGACCGATCTGTTATTTAAAACACCCTCGTCAGGATTCGTCGCAGCTGTCTCACTGGGGCGAGCCGGGCTGTAAACATCAATTTTTTGATGTGATGGTTTGACAGCTCGGCCTCACGTCGTACTTCGTACTTGGCGAAGTCTAGTTTCTGGCGGATGAGGCGGTGTATATCCCTCGTACAGCTCGCAATATCTGTCGTATGCTCGGCGGCACTTTGAGGTATATTCCTCATGTAGGTTATGGATGAAAGATACGCATGAACTAGCCTTGCGTTGAAAAAGTGCTCGCGGAAGTTTGTTCTCGTACTCTTCTTGCTCCGGGTGGGGGCGGACGGCCATTACGTGAAGACACATAGGAGCCCCTCCCCCGCCAACGCGACAAGCAACTTCGGATGGCTTGAAACTGTGATCTCAGTGTGATGTAGGAAAGTGTCGGTGTAACGATATCGTTCGTAGGAAAGAAAATCTGGGCTTCTTGAGCTTGGTCTTGATCGAACTGTACATCCTTATAGGCTCCACTGCGGGTTGTTGAAACAGTAACCGTTTATGGAAAAAGGCACGGCGTTCGTGACTAAAGCAGCGAAGAGGCTGAGCACAGTTGGCGTCACATCCTTCTTGAGATACGCTTTAGGCTGTGTATATCCGGGTGACGGTAAAGGTTTTTGTCGGGACTTGGATAGACACTGGGATTTTTCTCATATTAAAGCACCTTCGCATCCTTACCAAAATTAAAAACAAGGAGCTCGGCTCGGGGAGCAAGATCAGTGGCGTCGCATCGAAAGCATCATATTCGCGAATCCCGGACACCAATGCAACGCAACGACCTGGGTGTCTGACATTTATGAGAACAATTTTCAGATTTAGTTTTTTGGGGTTGTCGTCTCAAAGAAACTGGAGTGTAAGATCGCCCGTAAACACTACTCGTGGACTCTTAGAGTCGTATGCATTGCGTGGTAGAGTCACGCTATCTCGTTTCGCCGTCACACGGAGTGTCATTGTCAAGTCGATATCCTTACTCTCTTTTCACTATAACGTAAATTCTTTTATTTTGTGTTGATGAATTCGGCTGAAAACGCTGACCTTAAAAAGGCAACAACTTTTTTTGATATATACTCGTCTTCGGTCTCAATATGATCCAAACTTGACGGTATAGCAAAAAGTCAGAAGTTTCTAGCTGCGTTTTAAGCAAGCTATACCCGTGACTTTCAACAAGGTTAACTCTTATTCTACAGTTGATGCCGCTCGTTTCCAAGTATATTGTACTTCAAGCAGTGATGGTAAAAACACCTGTAGCTCAGTTGGCCTATGTTTAAATTAATTTTAAACGTTAAAACATTTTTTATTTGCTGAATCATTTAAAGTTTTAATGAGCATAAAATATAACTGACTTCTTAGATTTCGTAAGCAAGCGCCCAGTCGTTCTTATTGACAGGTGCAAATTAAAACACTAAGCGCTTGCTTACGACCACGCATGCCATGGAGGCGAGACCCACGAGACCTATGAGGCCAACTAAAATCCCCCCTACTGACCAGGGTGCACGAACAACACCAAAACTAAGTACTACTCCTCAATTACGTCATCTCCCAAATCATTTGTATCCTGCATTAAATTTTGGATCTTCCCTGCTGCATGGAATCTTTTGAGGATGGTTGTTGGATAAATGTCTGCAACAGCAATTGTATCGTTAGGTGCATCTTCCAAGGCGCACGAAAAATCACTTTGAAAGTCGCTGTCCAATACGATTGGGCACATGTCCTTGGAAGAAGCGATTGTTACCAGCGTGTTCAATGATTCGGCGCTCAGTTGGATCGACAACGTAAACATTTACAGGGCTATATGATTTTGTGGAGCTTTATCCGAACCTTCCTTCATGCCCTTCTTTCTTACAGCACCCCTGACAATGCTTGTTTTTTACCTTCTTCGGTTGCAATCGGTTTCTTCTCGCAGAATGAATTAGAGCGAGCTCGCAAAAGAGTTTCTCACATGTTGATGTGTACACAGAAACGCTCGGAAGAGCTAGTGCGAAGCCTGCGCACTGATGAAGGTATTTCCAGAAACCAAGAGCACTAGAGAATTCGGAGGGGATTATGCAAATAATATAGGTCTCAGCATTATACCAGACCATTATCTGTCGGCGTAGTTGCCCGTGTTCTTCATCAAACAAGCGCAAATAAAATAGAATGCTGATTCCGACATCGCTATGAGTGAGGTCAAATCCGTCTCAAGAGACGAAATTAAAAAAGTCGATATGATCGGTGCAAGAACAAGGCTAAAAGGAACAACGGCTGCTCACATCGTTGTAATAATTTTTTTAATGAATGGGCCAGTTTGTCATGATGACAGCTGTCGCAGGGGCTGAGAAATACGCTTCAGCCATTTAAAACAAAGTATCGTTTTAGACGCAGCTTATGCCGAAAACTCTCGTTCTGCAACTCGTACAAAGCAACAAGGAAATCGGCCTTACTCCTTCAGTGTACAATAAATATTTTTAAAGTGGATTTGGCACGAAGTACTGATGCGAACATTTTCTGCATTGGGCTCCATGCGTTTCGGCCACCTTCAGCAGCGCTAAGTACGAGCCATAAATATCATATTTCATCCCGGAGGCAAGGCAGCCACTTCGCTATCGATCTGTTAAAGTATACGACGATATTGTATGCGGACTTGGCTGCGATCTTGAACGAACCATTGATTACGTCGTTGACCAACAGGTCGACCTGGTGGACGAAACAAAACAGGAAGATCATCTTCGCCCAGCGTAAAGCTAAGTCCCTTCGCGGTCGACCCCAAAAATGTTTGAATTTCGGCATTGTTAGCAACGATAGATCCCGCATTACAACCTCCACTTTGCATTCTTACATGTATGACCAAACTCTCAAGCAGTTCAGCAATTGCTATACCATCTTAATATCTAAAAAAATTCCGCTTCGTAAAGCAGAGCACCATTCAGGCACATCTGAACAGCCAGTTTGTGGGATTTAGCAATATTTTTGCATGCATCAGTGAGCAGATTGACTTTTCTGCCATCACCTTGAACCATTTGGATTGTCAGCAGATGCTGCAGCAATATTTGTATCAAGAATCCTTCCACCGAATAGTCTTCAAAGGAGGAATTTAGCGCATTCAATGTGGCGAACCGAAATAGATGCAACGTGGGTTCTCGCTCAACAAACGCAGCAAGAAAATTGTTTACTACCTGGAACTCACGCAAAAGGTTATAGAATTTTTAATGGTGTTTCATGTGCTCTGGCATGAATGGTGTGGATCACACAAAATGGTGTATTGCCACAATTGTGTGGGATCCACAAGGTGGTATGACCACACAACGATATGGCTACACTAAAATAAGAAGTCAGTACGTGGCTGGAACAGCTAGTAGCTTATATCTTTACTAATAGAAAGATAGCAAAGATATAGTCGAGATCGACTGGCTTCCAACGGTCTTTAGGAACAGAGAGACTTTGCAGTGACACTTGCGTGTGCCGTGGGCTTCTCACGCGCTGAGAGACATTGCATGTCTTCACGTATCGTGCAACCCGCTTGTACATGCGGAGCCACTAAAATTGGACATTTCTGCCAGCACCGATTTGATATTACCAACGCCTATAGATTTAGAAATAGACAGCTTTTCCGCAATAAAATTGAGAAACATAGTTTAAGTCTTAAACGGAAGAGTAAATTTGCCCTGGGTTATGGTTGTAGTGACTCTTGGAGTAAGTGGATTGCGATCCGCTACACTCATACTGGTTCTAAGTATGGAACGAAGGTCACCGTCCTTAATTAGGTTTCCTCTTAGTACAAGAGCTACGGCAGCCCGGCTGCACTTGAAAGCATTCTTAGTCAATCTATACCTGAGTCATTACGACTGACCCTCGGCTTATAGTAGAATCGCTCACGACTTACCACTTTGCGGGCGAGTCGAACGTGAAAATCTTTGCTGCACTTAACTAATCGTCTCGACTATCCATTCTAGCTGATCAGTTCTCTGTCTCAGAATGTAGTGACACCATCCAATTTACTAAAGCTTCCTAGCGACGCGATTTTGAGCCGCTGTGGTTACTTCAAACAAGGTAGATGCAATTTTCAGATAGCAAATCCGGATCTTGGTTCATGTCAGCTTCGAACGCACGCCGTGGCTCTTGAAGAGAGCTGATGTATTATCCCAGAGCAGACGAGAACTTGCCGCGGGAGGTCCTGCTTCAGCCGATACGGCTCGAGCACTTTACTATACTTAAAACACGGGGTGGACGGGCACAAACACCAGGGCCGCTATCCGCACTTGGTCAGAAGGTGGGTTGTCTTCACTTTGTGAGCTCTAAGAAATTTGTGCTCTCACTTCGGCAGATTTTCTTGTTGACGTGGCCGCATCAGACATGGCGCATCATTGACCTTTATCTCTTTCAAAAGTGAGGCAAATCTGCCGTCACCGCGCACTTTTAAAAAGTGGGAGGCGGCAGATCTTGGGGCTATAAACCTCTACAGTGTCTGCGTCGTGATTTAAACTTGCCGATAAAAATCAAAGCATGAGACGACGATCTACGCCATTTGTTATGCTGATACTGGTTTGTGGGGCCTCAAAGGGTGGAGTGGCGTGATTTTTTTGCCCAATGCACAGACTGGGTCAGGTACCTAACAGCATTGTTGCCAGCTTCAAATGCAGAAAGGTCGTCTTTCCTGTGATCACGACGTAATATTAGCAAGAATTGGCGTGATTATAGCGCTTGGAATGAAGCAGACTGGGTTTCTCGTGCCAAATTCTGCTCGTCGGTAACGAGCCGAACATCATTGTGGTCTCTCCATTATACTTCTCGCCGATGAAAAAATATGTAGTCTGGGACGCATTCAGAAGAGAAGCTAAGCACAGTATGCGCCATCCAATGCACCAGAATTTCTCACTCTCTGAACTGAATCGTACCAGCTCTTCTACGCATACTTTCACCTAAATTCCACCCGCAAACCAAATTGATTAGCGTAATGATCACTATTTTACCAGCAAACTTTGCAACCGACGCGCTTCAAGATCTTCTCGAAGAAGAAACCAAAGTGTTCACTTTCCAGGTACTCTGCAAATCCGTTTAAACACCTTGTCCTCCTTGGTTGTGCGCAGTTTCTATTAAATACATTGCAAGTGTGATCAGCAGCGTTGCCCACATCTTGGGAAGTAGGGCTAGGCAAGTACTGTAATGTTGTGCGCATAACCCTAACATTTGGTACAGATACACTAAATACACTCGGACTTCACGGAGACCTGACGTTTTCACTCGTCAGGAATGGCAAAAACTATAAGTTTTAGAGTTATCACATCGAACGAGAAAAAAATATTGCTCGGTGAGTGCTATTTTTAGGTGGCGATACATTGAAAAGTAGGTAAGCACATGTGTGCACACGCGTGATGCGTGCCAGTATGTTCAAATCTCGTTGGATTTGACCGTTCGTTGAATCGGCCTGCCACTTATGGTATAATGTCTGCAGTTCATCATGATGGACGTTTTTGTAAATACTTTAGAGGAAAAGTCCTATAATAAAGGCATACCGAGTATTCGATATCTGACATATCTCAGCTTTAGACGTACCCAAGCCTCTTGAAGAGAAGCGATGCGCCGCAACAGTAAGGAAAATATTCAAAAGCGAGCACTTTGACCTCTACCTGTACTGCTCAAAGAGCAAGGAGTGGTCCACTTTCGTGAGGGGTAGCACCAAGCTAATCAGGGTACCTGGTGTATCGGAAGGGTCACCCATAGTTTAAGAAATTGTTAAGGTTTAAGGCTTTGCTTTGGCAATATTAGTCTTGCCATTTACGATCTGGCGCGTCCAAGAGGCAAGTCGTCCGCCGCATCGCGCTTTAACTAGTGTAGGAAGGCCAAATCTGTGGTGAGCTTTACCCTTTGCCAGTAGCTATTACAGCTGACATTTAAGCATGCTTAGCGAAAAATGAATGTACATCGATGACCTCGCCCTACAGTGCGTTTTGTAGAGTTTAGCACGAGCCCATTCTCAGCTGGCCATCAGCTTTTTTGTTAGCAAGAGTCAACACCGCTTGAAGATGAGCAAGACGGGCTCCGTTTGCAAGGCCAAGCTTGCTTTGACGTCCACAGCGAGAATAATAACTTTCCTCACTTAAATCGGGCCAAGAGTACACGGCTTGTGGGTGGGGAGATCGATGCGCAGTGGGCGCCTTCAACCCGGTAATCGGCTAGGGTATGTGATATCGAGTGAGGTCGGAGGTGACTCTTCAAAAATTGAGCATATTCTGCGACCGCTCTTATCGGTACCCGCTCTGAACCATTTGAATGGTGTATGAGAGGGGTATGGTGTGAGTACACTCTTGGAAAGCAGACAAGGAGCTAAGGGTGGAGTTACACTCAAAGCGTAGTGAAGTATTTTTGAACGCTATGCTTCGCGCTGAGTCGTAAGACGACAAGAATATGATCCCAGTGTGGTCCATATCTTGGTGAGGGGATGCCACGGAATAAGTGCTGTATTATCCGGTAATTACACCCTACCGTTTTGGTACAGATTTACAATTTTACGAATTGCCACATTGCTTTTCTGTGATGGTGAATAGTCATACGAACATCAGATTTCGTATGTAAAATATCGCGCGAAGGTTCGTACACGAAAGGCCCGCGGCATGGATGGGTTGGTGATTGAAGAAGTTAAGTGATATGGTAAAAAATGCGCATATGTTTTTGTACTACTTTAATCGATCTTATATTTACGTCATGCCAAGTTGGCTAATAGCTTAGATGCACTAGGGAAGATCGTTTTGGATCCTGTGTAAAGCGTCCGAATTGGTCCCCTAGCACTCATAATCACAGATTCTTCGAGTTGATACTTCATTTATGCTACGTGCATGGAAAACTTGTTGCAAAAAGATTTCTGTCAACCCATAATGAATAGATCCATAACCTTTACCCAGGGCGGAATCAAAATAATATGTAATACGGATAGTCAATTTGCTGTAAGCTTAAGCGTGACAGGTGAAGATATAGCTATGCTATTCTCGACACCATAACATGATCAGCCGGTAGCCACTGTGTCGAATAAAGATTTTTACTTTGCAGTGAAATTGTGGTTCAGGTGCTAGGCGCCAAATTAGCATCTCCGCTTTTGATCCTCAGAGAAAAAATAGTCATATGAAACACTCTACTTGCGTAGGGGGGTATTACAACGTGGTTGCCGTGCACATCGCACAAATATAACGTTCACATATAGAAATTATATCCTTACTCACAAAGATGTAGCACACTGCATTCCACACTTACTCATTCATTCTAAGATACTGCGCATAAGTGAAATTTACACCTGCAGATAACCCCTTCTGCACGTTATTGTTTATACTCCTGAGAGTATATTTGCACTGATATACCATCGCACGCGCCCATCAAATGGCTCAGCAGTCCTCCAAGGGACGCTGTGCTCCCGAGAAACCCGCGTCGAACAATTTGGTGAGTTCGTTATAGTGTTTTCGACTATAACGGCCAAAATGATATTCTGAGTCTTGCCCCTAAAGCACTTCCCGTATCCGCCAACACACAGCCGAGCCGTTCTCAAAGGAGAAGGCACTCCCTGCGCTCAGCCTTCTAGCTGCTCAAGCCAAACAATCTTTGACTTTTTGTATCGTCAATAATTGCTGCGATACTCCATCGTGAAGCTTAAGCTATAGCCCAGGTTTCTCTACTACAAGCGCAAGAGTTACGCCAATTCTTGCCGTAGCTACGACGTGATTACGGTCTGGAGCCGTTTAAAGTCGCTTACCGCGTTTGCGCGAAGCCCCTACACGTCTATAGGTGAGGACCTTTCGCTTACGCAAGAGAAAAACTGTGCATGAAAGTGTTGCTGTGCAAGCGCTAACAAGTAACTAGTCTTCAGGAGTATTGTCGATAATTTGTTGCAGCACCGATTAGAAAAAGCCGGACCCTTCATGAAGGATGTGCTTTTGGTACTAGAAGCTGGCAAAAGTACCGCTGAATACACGACTAGTTTGCGCTCTGGATGAATCAAACACGTCGCGTCATTGTCGTAATGCCAAAAAAGCTAGCTATCACATTATATGTCCGTATAGAGCGTCACGCTTCTTTGTGCGGAGTGCAACGCACAACATGGACGTCGAGGTAAGAAATCGATAACCTCAACTATTGCTGCTTACTGCTTCGCTCGTTTCCACACGACAGTTGAAATAGCTACGAACCAAAGATCCTAACCACCGCGAGGTAACCACCCCACACAAATGAGAAGCGCCTGTTACAAGCAACCTCGGCTCTTGTTCAAAATCATCAAAATCCAATAATGCACCATATTATAAGAGACACAGCACCTAGCAATCTTGACAAATTAGCACCTTGAATATCTATGAGATTTTTCATTCAATTCATCAAATATTGATGACAGTCCTGGTGTTTTTCTAAATGTCCATGATTTTGGGAATCACTAGGACAGTAAAAGTAGGACACTCCTCTTGCATCAAGCCCTCGAGTGTTCAGTTGTATTTACATATACGTCGGCTCTCTCCGAGGGCTCTACTTGAGTCTGAGGCTGAGATGAGCCAGATCTCAAATCTCTGGTAAGTTTTGCCACCTCGCTGCCTCTCTTGAAGCAATCACAGCAATTTGGATTTGCGTCACTGCAATTAAAGCAGAGAAGGCTCAGTTTCCAATCTGGATGATGCTGCTGCTTTGCTTTCGAGACACTTCTCAAAACCGACTGGTTCGCAAGAGTGGAATTCTGGGTTAGAGCCCAGAATTTATATACAAATACTGTGAAATGCTGAGCGTACGTTTAGTTATATTCAGTTCTTTTGTCGCTACGAACATGAGCGATCCGATGTAGCGCGGTCGCAACACAATCACATAGACCAAAGGCACTGCATGTGAAGATGAATTCGTTGCATTCAATAAACCCCTTTAGTCCGCAACATATTCGCGTGTATCTACCCTGCCTTTGAGTGCGGCATGTTGCTCTTATAAATCCTGGCCATCAGCCACAGCAATGAGCACCTTGCACATGACGCGCGATCTCATTTGGACATATCATTAATTTATATTTCGAAGTGTAGCCGAATATAATTTTAGTATGCCAAATTGAACCGACAGTCCACCCTCACTATTTCCAGAAACAATATGTAGCGATGTGTAATACAACAGAGGGTTAATGAAATCATCGACCAAATTGGGGTAAACGGTAAAGAGGGATTCTCAATTTTCTACAAAATGAACGGTCGGGAGCAACTCGCTCCGATGCCAAAGCTCACTGCAGAGGTCCTTTATAAAGTATTTTCCAAACGCGATCCACCCATTCTATCAGACCACTCGTTTCAAAAAGGGTTAGTAGTCGAAATGTCTAATCTAGTGCCGAGAACCTTGAATGATGTAATTAAAAGTTCGCAATAGGGAGCCAGTTTCTGTCCGATAAAATGGCTAACGGCAGACCATGTTGGCCGAGCACTTTATCGACGAACAGCTTTGCTGTATTATCACCGACCACGTTATAGCTTACAAAAGCGAGGTCAATTATCTTGCTCAGACGGTCTTCAAATACCACAATACTTGTACTACCAAATACGTCTTTTGTAAGACAATATAGTCCTCACACCAAACCAGCTGGCCGATTAAGTGTACCGTCGCACGCAATGAGAGTTTGATCCGCTGGTCCCTTGCTTACCCAATTTTACATGTTGATTAACAGGCACATAGCATCCACCGAGCAGTATGTAGTTTCTCCTCCGAAGTGACCACCATAACTTGTCGTTTAAACAGGTCATTTCCTGTTCCATCATCGTGAGACACCATTACAGGCCAATAGGTGATGTGAGTGAGTGCTGTTATTTATCCATCTTTGAAATAAGGCAAAAAGGTGAGGCGTGCAATCGCGAGCCTCGACAACGCGACATCTGAGTTTTCCAGCCTCTAACCTTTCAAAGCTTTCATCAACTTAACATATGTTGCGTTTGACCCGAACGCTGTGCATATAGCCTTTACAGTTGGCGATATCATTAATGAGACATCGTGCGAATTGTAGTCGGAGCGACACGAAAGCGCGTTCACCACTGCATACATGACCCCGACGGTGTGGTCTACAGAGACATATAAGCAGCCTGTCATTTCTTAAGGATATGTGACTATGACGCCGCCGTCTAAAACACTGCATGATCACTAAAAAATGCAATCGGGATGGTAGAATTTCTTCACCATGTCGTGGTCCTAATTTTACAAAAAATCGAGTGGATCTGTAAGATCTAAAATTCCAACTGTCCAAATTCTTGCGCTAAATGCTCTGCGAGTGTCTGTAATGACAGATTTATTGACGCAAATGGCAATTTGAGCTCTTCTTGGGTATCAACTGTATAATTTGGTAATAGAAGCGGGTTAGAAGAGTTGTGCAGCCCCTAGACCTTCTCTGTCACTCCAGTCAGAAGTATATAATCTACCCGTGAGATTTCAATGTTATACACGGTGTGCTCAGCACGTGCTAATGCTGACTCAGCAGTACTGATAGATTGTGCCGATAATGAGACAGCCTTTTATAAGCTCTGACGTAGAGGCTTTACTACTCCGCCCTTCAGCTCCACCAGTCTTGACACTGCATATTGCGACAGTCAGTCGCTTCCACCCTCTACCATCCCTGGCGTAGGACACAATAGTACACATCTGTTCCATATCGACCCGCTAGAGACAAACTCTAGCGCTAACAGCATGCATTTGGCCTTTCTCATTTTCTTGGCTTTATAATGTCGGAGACGTTGATATCAATAATCAACAACCCTTGGCCGAGAGCTATACTTCTCTTGGAGTGATTTGTTGGATTTGTTGTTTAGGTGCTGGATCCAGTTGACCACGACATCATTAGGTTTATAGGTATAGTATAGCCCGATTATTTCTGAGTAGACCGCATTTCGCCTATTCAATGGATGTTTTCTGGAATTTTTGGCTCGTCCTCCCTCCTTGCAAGACGTACGATGCTTCGTACATCTCGGCCGAAGTCAGAGAAGTTACAAAAGACGAAGATATTTTGTGCTACCGCGGTCTAAACACCTGCGGATACCGCAAAGCTGCACAGCGGGTTAGTCATCTTTCTCCTAAGCACAGCATGACTAAGATTTATCGCCTCTGATGCGCTCAAAGAAATGTTATTTACATTACCAAATCCTGTCTAGGCACGGATCCTGTTCTTCGAATTATTTACAAGCCCATCGCTTCCTCAAAATATGTAAGCTGGTCTCAGTGCAAGTTGTATTTGTTCGGATTTTTTTCAAGAATATGATACGTTCTTACACCTCTGGGCGAGGGTTAGACGCCGTTGCGGTGATAATGACTGTTAGCACCCAGACATATTTTTCTTTCCTCTCTGAAGGGTAATCAAGAATGTCAAATATAACTGATACGTGTTACCAGTGCGAACACCCGCAACATCTGATACTATAAATCGTATCACCTTGGACCTGCTCCTATAACCGTCGTATTGCACGTGATTGCAGATCTCGCGCGAGACTTTCCAGCTTAACGATGTAACTTGACGCGCTGTGGCTCCGTGGAGCAGGTAAAATCCAAAGCAGCTACATTTTCTTGATTCATAGCGAGATATTTTCTCCACCATGCCGCTCAATATTAATCACCCAATGATGGAGTAAATCTGATTTTATATCGACAACCGATTGGAGCATTTCTCGATGTCTCAACTGCACGTCAGTTCAACCCGCTTCCAATCGTTTAGTGGCAAGTTCTCCGACCCCACCGGGCCACAAATGAATAACATTTTATTGAGCTAGTCTTTATATCCCGTGGACAGGTATTTACACATTGCATGTTTAGTCGCCGCAAAGATATTTTTATCGAAGGATTGGTTGCAAGCGCATAAATTCTTTCAAAGGAGCTGCAATGCACTTATTTGGGATGAAGATCTGGCTGTTAGAGTTTGCGTTAACGAATACTTAAACAAATGGCTTGAGTGCTCCTAATAGGAACGAAGCCGAGAGTCTTTAAAGTTATCGCAACGCTAGCTTGCTTCGCGGTATCAAGAGTCTGCAAATTTATAGTATTAGCATCGCTTATAATAATATTGCCTCTCTTTGCTAACGTGCGGCGAGTAGCCCATCAAGATCTTTGCATGGACCAAAACTTTGGTAGGTATGATTACTCAAAATGTTTTCAGTGTAAAAACAAATGTTCCGTTTCGTTTTAGATACAATTGTACCAAGCATAAGTGGACGCTAATCAAGATTATATAACTTGCCTTATTCTGCCCCTCACACACAACGAGGACGTAGAGGTGACAATCCATCACTGTAAGGTGACGCTAGTTTTAGCTTCTGATAGTCTTCAAGATGGAGCTGCAACAGCCACTGACCAAGTATCCCAATTATGCAAAGGCGGTCGTCTCCCGCTGGTGAAAGGCGCGCAGTGACGGACGAGAGCGTCTCCTTTTCGTAAAAGATAAAACCGAGGGTGTGTCAGAGCGTAAGGAGCCACGTTACAGCAGAGTGGAACTCAAACTTATAAAATATGTAAACAGTGGGCAGCTACTATTTATAGCTCTAGTGAACCCACCAGCACATCAAATGTTTGAGTGAAAGTGAAACATCTCTTGCTGATCGAGAAGCGCCGGAGAAAGAGGACCTCCCACGCCTATTTCTCGTCAAATCTTTGGGCGGTGGCAGTACTTTACTCTCTTCGAAAATCAAGGCTTGTGTTGCTGCTCTCGAGGCTAAGATGAATCAGATCTGTATCTACTCTCTACTATTCACAATTGCATTGCCTGCCTTATAGCACCCAAAAAAGTTCAAAACCGTCACGGCATTTGGAGCGAGGATAGCTCAGCTATACAGGATGACCGAAACGTTAATACGAGTGCAACAACGCTCTTCAAATTTGATGGATCGTAATCGCGGAATGGTGGTATGGCTTTTGCAAGCTAACGTAGAACACATGATGTTTGCAGTCGCTTCGGGTACGAAGAACGCATGATGTGCTCGCATTCACGTTTGACATCTTCATAGTATAACTTCATCCATTTTTTTCTACGACGGTGTGCGGTCCGATACAGCGCGGTCGAACTTGTCGTATCGACTGCAGACACTGTGTATGTAGGTTGATTAATTGTAATCTGTAAAAAAATTGCCTACAACCATTCTCGTGTGTGTTTTGCCTGCTTCCGGCATCGATGTGTTGCTTTTGCTTGTCTTGGCTCTGTGCCGTAGCGCCGTGCACCCTGCGCATGACGCTTGATAACACCGAAGTAAAGACACATTTTTGGCTACAAAATATAGCCGAGCTGATTTCAGCAAGTCGATTTTGACCACCACTCTCCACTAAACGTGGGGCAAATTCGCGGTGGGTCCAAAGCTGTGGCTTGCCTTATCATATATATAATTTGGGTACAACATATCGATCATGTACTGCGTCATTCAGCGTATACTCAGTGATTGGAAGCAACTCACTCCAGTTCCCCGCAAATACTTGAAAGGATATCGTTACATCTCAGATAAACTGTCCGTTGGGACATGTGTTTCCGAACCAATCAGGTAACGAGCACCTTAGCGAATGTTTACCAAAACCTCTCTAGAAAGCGGAGATCTCTAGCACAATACTTTGTCGCGAAGCGGCTTGGATGTATCCTGACCTGGCACATTATCGTTAGCAGCAGCAAGGTCATTTATCTTGCTCAGACGGTCTTGAAAACCATGATACTGGTTATATCGAACGCGTCCTATGAAGGACTGAGACTGAAGTGCATACAGATGAGCTTTTAGCACTTTGTCGGAACCGGCAGGCTGGCCAAAACGTGTTGCCATCAGTGATGAAAAATTGATCCGTTTGCAGTAAACACACGTGCACAAATATGTGATTATCCAATTATACATGTAAGGCAACCAATACATGGCGATGACATAACAGTATGCCTTTTTCTTCCGAGATGATCGCCAATATGTACACTGTATCTCATTATGTGATTGAAGTCCTTATTGTGATGTACCAGTATTAAGAGGTGACAGCAAGCTTTTGGTTGAGGCATAGCGGTGTACATTGAGCAATTGACATGGGTCTCGAACTCTTTGCTTCTAAAAGCTTCAGGAGCGCGACACATACTGCGTCTTGTCTCTTCTACAGGGGTAGTACCTAGTCTTTTGTTCGACCTCCTAGCTTGGAAACTGCAAGCAAGACGCGCTCATGTTCCATTTGAATCATGGCCGAGTCCATGGACACCGCAATAATCTCATTCGAAAGGATTTTTATTGTCCCTGCCATAAGAAAGCTGAATCTCGACATGAGCGGCCTCGCAGTGAATGCAATTTGTACTTCAACTAGCGCCCGGTCGGGGCTGTCCGGTCAGTGCTTAATCATAACTGGTCACACGAGCGATGATCAATTCTGGTGCCAAGACCTCCAGCTCTTTGATCACTTCAAATTACAAAGCGTGAAAAATTACTGATTCTTTGCATGCGATAAATGGGCAAAATACCATCTGTAGGTGTAACATCTCTCAAAACTATGATTGTGTTTAGGCGATAGTATTTTGTTGTATTAAAAATCGTACTTGATGAAAAATGTAAGAAACAGACTGATCTTTAAATGTCAGATTGTCCAAGCATTATAACGTATGTCCAGCCATGTAAATTATATTTTCTTATCCGTCCTGGGAATTCTACTCATTGCCGCTTCTGATGCATAATATTTTTTGTAGTTCTGAAAGAAACTCACATTGTAATCAAAGACGTAAGTAAGGAAAAAATATTCGTTTGTAATGATCTCTTAATTTATGAATAAATTTGAATCACGACGATATGACTCCGTGACGGAGACTTCCATGGTATATGTGGGCTGTTATACTCACGTCTCAGCAATACAGGCAGGTATTAATAATACTGGATACAGAGACACGAAACAAATGTAAGCAAAATCAATCCTGAATATAAATAAATGTTATCCGTGACAAAGCAGAACAAACTAGATAAGTAGCGAATTTAAAGTCTCCCAGTTTCGGACGTACGAGCTTGATGTTTTAGCGTTTGTTCATACGGACTCGCTTCATCTTTACTATCCACTTTAGGTTAAGTAGGGAGGCGATGAAGAGTATTTGATTGAAATATTAGCGTTTAACTTTTATAGAAATTCTGTTCTGCTCTTGCTTCTGATGGAGGAAATGGGTATCATAAAGCGCTATGCAGTACCTTTTTAAGCTTTTGATAATACAAATAGTGAAATTTCTTTTCGTTTTGCACAATTGTACAGAGGTGTTAGGTGTGCGTAAAGAACGGAATCCCGTTACAGAGTACACTTTTGTTCAAGCGAGTCTAGTCATTAAATACTTTGAGGGCTCTCGGCTCTGGTTCAAGCATTCTCGCTGCAAGATGCACGGCAGCTCGTCGCATTTGACGACAAAGTCTTGATAAATTGTTTCTTCTGTAAGGATTGGACGCGAGTTGTTTATCTCTTCCTTTCATACAATTAAACACTCTGATCATGCTATTTCTAACGCTGATCCCGAACACATGAGACAATTGGCGGCCCAAGAGCCGAAAGCGATGAAGGATTGCCTCTAGAAACGTTGTATCCAGTCGTCGGTGGAAGCACGACCTGCTCTCATCGTGAGACCGCTTGTGTTAAGCGTCCATTTATTTAAAAGCAAAGACGGGTATTTTGCTGTCTGGGTGGGAAATGCAAAATTGACCAGATGCTCCATATTGAGCACGTCGCACAAGCAGACTCCGATCTAAGAAGTTACTTTCGAAAATGGGGACTAATGTGCTGCACCGAGATGAAATCTCAACTACATGAGAGAGTTGCAGCGAAGTGTACAGCTACATTGACTGCGGTTTGGTCGAAAGACGTAGTGTGTAAGCGGGTACTTCAAATATTCTGGTGCGGTTATTGCAAAATGCAATTTAAACTGCTACTAAAGTATTTCTTAAATATAGACAACGTAACTTCGTAAACCAAAACCCACATGAGATACGTGGGATATCAGACTCCCGTTAGCCATGTAGTTAGTTTTATCATGGGATGTAAGGAATCGTAAAAAAATGTATCAGTTCAAAACTCATAAATGTATTGCTTTTACGATAGACGATCAAATCAAGAACATGAGACTCTCTCAGCTCACTCTTAAGGTATAGCGTACAAACCCTGTCTTTAAACGTTAAATTTGCGGAATCTTTGATTTTAAGCTTCCAGTTTACAAGCTGAACAGTGAACGGGTTGCACACTGCCAAAGGAGACAGAAACACGTCCAGAAATCAAGAGATTTTATCGCTGCAGACCCTCTTCAGAGAGAGTATTTGAACAGGTACGGATAAATTGCGGTAGGTGCCGTACCAGACTTAGCTGGAAAACGGATCCGGATACGATTATCCGGGTGGCCGCGGTTGAAGTGGCCTGAGGGGTCGCGTGGGTTTCTCTGGGCTTCGGGGGGGGGTCTCGGTAGGTGCATATTCTCGGGGATAGGTGCAGAGAGAATGCCTTGGTTCTAATACGTCAGTTGCTCTTTTACCATCCACATATCAACAGGTTTAGCGAGTCGCGCTAGGGGAATAACGATACAACGCCAAGGAACAATGGATCAACAACGCGAGGACATGCTGGTGCTCTTGGACAAGGCCAAAGTCCAGTGGTTCAGCAGCTTTCCTCCAGTTTGCGACGGCGAAGAGATCGATTGGCGTCAACGCAAGTGGCTTCTGCGGACGACGTTCAAAGAGTATGGAATCCTCGACATCGCGGAGGGCAGGCTCAAGAGAGACCAACCCAGCACTGCGGAAGGGATAGCTTTTGATCGCCAACAGTGCAAGATCCAGCGCATGATCGCGTCGGCGATACCACCACACCGCTTGCAGCAGGTTGACCACTTGGAGACCGACACTGAAATTTGGGCGGGGGTGAACGAGATCTACGAGAGGCGCATGAACCCGGTGATCAAGAAGAGCATCATTCTCCGGAAGTGCGGTGAGCTTAAGGAGCTCAAGTGCTCGCCAACAGGCGATGTGAGCATTCACCTGGCCAAG